AAAGAAACTTTATTAATTTTACCATTAAAAACAACACATCTACAAATTATATACAGAAAGAAACAAACAGGCCTTGACAGAGGCCAGAAAAGAAAGAAAGGAAGGAAATGCGGGAGAAGAGAAGGGAGGATAGGGAAGGGGGGGAGGTAGAACAGGGAAGACAATTAAAATAAAACCATGTCTTTTGTGATGATCTGTAAGATCCTTTCTTCTTCAAATGTGCCGTAGGCAGAACTTTTCGATATCTCTACTTGTGTTGCCCTTGACTAAGATTCTCTTTGGAGTGGTTTATCTTTGGTTTAGCCAATTATACCAAAGATTCCAATTGTTATAATAGGTTGAGGATTCTTTATTTTTTAACGATTGGGTTAATTTGTCCATTTTAGCGCATTCTAGAATTTTCTGGATAATCATCTGTTCAGTGGGGGTGGAAGGTAGTTTCCAGCACTGAGCGAACGCCAGTCTGGCCGCAGTTAGAATATGAATTGTCATATACTTCGATTTTTTTGATAATTGTTTATCAAAAATTCCTAGAAGGAAGGACTCTGGTTTGTATTCAATTTGTTCCTTAGTTATCTCCTCCAGCCAATACCTAATTTTTTGCCAATATTTCTGAGTTTCCTTGCATGACCACCACATATGGAAGAAGGTACCTTCTATGTTTTGGCATTTCCAGCATTTTGGGCTCGTGTTGGGGTGCATTTTCGCCAACCTTGAAGGGGGCAGGTGCCATCTGTAGAACATTTTATATGAATTTTCTTTGTAAGCTGCTGATTTTGTGATCTTGTTCCTATTCCAAATCCTTTCCCATTCTGATAGCGTGATACTCGGTCCCACGTTCCTGCTCCAAGCTATCATATTTCCTTTGACAATCTCTTGTTCTAGTTCTATTTCCAATAACTGTTTGTAAAATTTAGATATATACTTTTTTATTTGGTCCTAATAAAATTTTGTCTAAGATCTACAATTTGTTATAGATTCCAAATTCCTTGATATCTTGTTTATATCTACTGTGAATTTGAAAGTACACCCACTGATCAATTGTGAATCCTCGCTCTTGTAATTCTTGTCATGTTTTCAGTTTTCCTTGTGGGTCTAATAAATCTTTGTATTTAATCATTTTAGTTATATCCAAATTATTAGGGTGTACTATTGCTTCCATTGGGGATAGCCAAATCGGTATTTTTAGATAGTGTTTTTTACGTACTTTTTCCCAATTGGTTAATAGAGAGTCCCTGATAAGATGCCTATGAAAATATGATTGCTTGGGTTTCCCAACTTCCCACAGAAAGGCACGCCACCCTTTCTGCATATCGTGGCCTTCTAGTATAAGGGTTCTTTTATTGGTTAGATTCACCCATTCCTTTAGCCATAGTAAGGTATCTGCCATATGGTATATTTCCCAGTTTGGGAGGGCTAATCCTCCTCTGCTCCTCTGTCTTGTAAAGCTTTTACATTGATCCTAGCTTTTTTCCCCTGCCAGATGAATTTTAGTGTTATCTTATTTAATTCTATAAAAAAAATATTTAATTTGATTGGGATTGTCTGGAATAGATATAGAAATTTTGGGAGTATATTCATCTTAATCGAAGCAATTCTACCCAGTAAAGAGAGCTGCAGCTTGCTCCAGGAATCTAAATCTTTCTTGGCTTGTTGGAGTAATTTGTCATAATTATTTTCCTTAAGTGATTTACTTTGTGGAGTTAGCCATATTCCTAGGTATTTGACTTTTTTTGTCACCTGTATTCCTATTGATACTTCTAACTCTTTATTCTGATCTACTGTTAGGTTTTTGGTCATTAATTTTGTTTTTTTCCTATTAATTTTGAGTCCTGCAACTTCTCCGAATCGTTCTAGTTCTTCTAATAAATTATGTCCTTTTTCTATAGGTTCCTCCAAAAAGAAGACCATATCATCAGCGAACGCTTGTACTTTATACTCTTCTTATTTGATCCTCAATCCTCTAATTCTAGAGTTTTGCCTGATGCATGTCAGGAGTGATTCTAGAGTGAATATGAAGAGCAGAGGAGAGAGAGAGAGCAACCATGTCTAACCCCTTTTTCTATTTTTATTGGACCGGTTTGTTCCCCATTTATTAGAATATTAGCCTGTTGGGTATCGTAAATTGTGGTTATAATGTTTTCAAATCTGGTGCCGAGATTCATGTTGTAGATTTTTTGAATTAAAAAATGCCAATTTAGATTGTCAAATGCTTTTTCAGCATCTAAAAACATAAATGCAAATTGTTTCTCCAGATGGGCTTCGTAAAATTCTAAAATGTCTATCACTGTTCTTAAGTTATTCTTGATTTGTCGAAATGGGAGAAATCCATTTTGGTCTTCATGGATATGTGAATTTAAAACTTGTTTTAATCTATTAGCTATAATGGAAGAGAATAGTTTGTAATCTGCGTTCAGGAGTGAGATCAGTCTGCTATTATTATTGATATATCTATGGTCTAAATCCTCCTTCGGGATCAGTGAAATTAAGGCTCCCCTCCACGAGTCCGGTATCCTAGCTGCTAAGAGTACCTCGTTAAATACTTCCAACATCAGTGGTCCAATTTGTTCCATGATTGTTTTATATAATTCTGCCGGTATCCCATCTGGTCCTGGCGATATACTGTTACTTTGCTTCTCTATTGCTGACTTCAATTCAGACCATGTAATATTTTTATTTAGTAATTCTATCCCTTCCTCTCCAATTGCTTTGTCATTCGCTTCCTCTAGGTACTTCCTTATTTTATCCTCGCTGACTTCTTCCTTTTTATATAATTTTCCAAAGTATTTATAGGTGATCTCTTTTTTCCTCTCTATCTCATGTTGCAAATTGCCCGTCTCATCCATTAGTTGGTGTATCAGTCTCTTTTCTTTCGCTTTTTTAAGTTTATGGGCTAACCATCTCCCTGGTTTGTTTGCATGCTCAAAATAGATTTGTTTGGTAATTTTCAAGTTTATCTCCAATTTTTCTTGTTCGAGTAGATTCAGTTTGTGTTTGGTTGTTATTAACTGGTTTTGTGTTCTTTGATTTTGGGGATTTTTTTGTAGTTGGGCTTCTAAATCTTTAATTTCTTGTCGTAGGTTGCTTTGTTGAGCATACTTTCTTTTATTTCTCATAGCATTATAGGAAATTGTTGTTCCTCTTATAGTTGCCTTCATTGTGTCCCATATATTTTGTTTTGAGGTTATTTCGTTATTATTTTTCTTTAAGAAACAGTTGAGTTCTTCTTTCAGCTTGTTGATGTATTCTTCTTCGTTTATTAAATGAGTATTTAATGTCCATCTTTTCTTTGGTTTTCTTCTGCCTCTCCAAATTATTTGAATTGGGTTGTGGTCAGCCCATTCATTTGGTAAAATTTTGCTTTCTTTGACTTCATTTACTAATTCACCATTCATCCAGGCCATGTCTTTTCTTGTCCATATTTTATGTGGGTTAGAGAAATAAGTAAATTGTTTATCTTCTGGGTTTAATTTTCTCCAAATATCTACTAGGTTCAGTTCATTCATCATATCCTTACAAGACTTCGGAAATTCTCTTTTTCCTTTTTTATTCTTTACTCGCATTACTATGATCTTTTCGATAGTCAGCAATAGAGTTAAATCGTCTATCATACAAATGTTGCCTTTTTCAAAGCCTATTATTTTTTGGTGGAGATCTTTAAAGAATTTACCTTGTTCATCGTTTGGGGCATAGATTACTACCAGTAGAAATGTAATACAGTTAATCGAAATTTGTACAACCAGAGTTCTTCCTTCCGGCTGAATTATATTTTTAAAAGGCAAGATCTAAAAACATTATCTTGAAAAGTTAGCAATATCAGAGAAGAAGCACTTCTATCTTTGAGAGAAAAGGAGAGGTGCTTTTTGTAAAATATGCCAATTTAATTGTGCCAAGTTAATGTAAGACTAGAAGAATAACCTAAGAATAACCTAAATTTCTGTTTAAAGTGGTATATTTAACAGATTGTGTGGCTAATTGTTGTAGTCAAATTAAAAATAATGGTTCTCCTTTGAAATCTTTGTCTCCCAGCCTCCTAATGCTGTAGCTTCTTTATATTCAGATTCATTCATTTATAAATAATATATATTTGACTGCCATTTATATTGTATTTCTTTCTTTCCCAGTTATTCAAGAAAGTCCAGGGGAAGGTGAAAGATGGTCCATTATTAGTCTGACAGGTATTTCCTACAAAGATGCAGGAGACTACAGATGCAAGGCCAAAAATTTCGCTGGAATGGCAGAAGCTTTTGTTACTCTCACTGTTATTGGTGTTGTTACCACAACAGAACCTTCCCCAAAGTATGGCAAGAAGACAGGAACAGAGCAAGCAAATATTACCCAAGAAGATGTCAAATCAGAATTTTTTAATGCAACGCTTTCTTCTACAATAGCGTCCACAACCACCTCTCTGCCTACAACTATGGCTACCACTGAAAAATTCACAACTGAAAGAGGAACTGACACAAAACAACCTGAGCCCATGCCCAATGACAAAAAGAACAGGAACACAGTTGTTAATGGAAGGAAAAAGCAATTGGATACATCAATCAGTGTAGAGTCAGGAGATGAACAAAATGTTACTCTGAAAAACCTAAGAGTAATTCCTGAAACCAGTGAAAGAGTGACCTTAATGTGGAAAAATATTGATGTCTCTAATAGCTCTGCTTTGACTGTACTCTATTCCAAGTATGGAGAAAAAGATATGGTGTCACTAAATCCAGATCCCACAAAAAAAAAAGTGACAATAGATGGTTTGGAGCCTAGCACAAAGTATATGGCCTGTGTCTGCCCCATAGAGATGCTTCCCACCAAAGACCAGTGCATCATTTTCTCCACGGATGGAATTAGTGTGGAAGATAAATCTTCTATTTCCATTTTGCTAGTAGCTAGCGGGATAGCCTGTTCAGTAGCGATACCCCTCATTTTTTTCTTACTGTATAAAGTTGTGATGCTTCACAGGAAACCAAAGTTGATTAAGGAAGATGAACTTGCAAAAGAGACTTATATCAAATTTGAAACTCTTTCTTTTAGACCACATTCCATGGGAGCAAATGTGGAGATCTGGACTCACCGACACACTGATGAGTCTGAAAGACAATTACTTTGTTCCAGGTCAAGTATGGATTCGCAGATGACCTTCAAAAGTGAAGGTTCTAGGTCAGAGTACTTCTACTAACTGTGGGTTCTGTAGATTAGTAATCTACAGAACCTAGAGTCAGCAGAAGTACTGTGACCTAGAACCTTCACTTTAGATAGAAGCAAAAGAGCTGAGACCCAATACTAGAACAATGACAATCAGAAATCAGTTTCTTCTTGATTAATACTTCGCTATTTAAAAAAAGATTTATGTAAAATACATATTTTTCGTTCCATGATACTCTCCATGTTTCTTTCAATTATATATTGTTCAGTGCAAAGTACTTATTAATATTTTGTTTAATTCAACTCAAACTCCTGAGTTATGCACGAGTGCAAAGATACAATGGGGCACAATCCAGGATAAGCCATTTCAATTAGGTTGATGCATTAGTGTCATTTTGTATTGTGGTTAAGAGGTTGTATGATTAAAAATATGAGATTCAATTTGGGGAATGCACATAAATATTTATAATGTCAAGGTGTAATTGTGGTTAATCAACCCTAAGCTATATATATGCAGCTAATCAAAGTAAGTCAGTAACTACATCTGGAATAAGTCACATCTAAAATCCACTCAAATCATTTATTCCTCAACCCATGGTATGAGTTTAAGCTAATGATGAATATGCATAAGTAAGATTTGGAACAAAAAAACTAACCTTATATATTGAAATGGTATATGGTTTCCTGCCTAAGCAGAGGGTTGGACTAGAAGACCTCCAAGGTCCCTTCCAACTCTGTTTATCCCATCCCATCCCATCCCATCCCATCCCATCCCATCCCATTCCATTCCATTCCATTCCATTCCATTCCATTCTATTCTATTCTATTCTATTCTATTCTATTCTATTCTATTCTATTCTGTATAGGTGAGCCAGAGGAACATATTTTGGACTTATCCATTAAGATTAGAAGAGAATATTAAGAACGATCAAAGGAGAGTTTGAAAGGTTAAAGCAAGTAGTATCTTTTTTCAAAGAATCTAGGCCACAGTACAACGGTTCCTCTCCAGTATTTAGCCTTAGTATCTATCTCACAGGTGTCAAACTCACAGAGTCACATTGCTTTTATATAATGTTTCGTGAATTTTTTCCCCTTTATGGAGCTGGGGTGGGTGTGGCCTGCATGTGACATATCCAGCCCATGAGCCACCAGGTTGACATCCCTGAACTATCTGGTATTCAATGATATATTGCTGTGGATTATAATATTTTCACTTTAGCCATTCTAAATAGTAGTGTTTAATGCATCAGCTCTTGAGGAATGTGAATGAACTGATTAATCCTAAAACTAGTAACATTATCAGCTGTTATTATAGTCAAGGGGCTGTGATATCTCAGCAGTTAAATATGCTGACCTCGTCAACTGGAAAACTGACAGTCCAGTTCAAGACCTGAGTGACCCGTGATGGGATGACCTCTCATTATTGGTCCCAGCTCCTGCCTAGCCAGCAGTTTGAAAGCATGCAAATGCAAGTGGATAAACAGGTACCACTTTGCTGTGAAGGTAACAGGGTTCCGTGTGCATCGGCTTATGGTCATGCTGGCTACATGACCAAAAAAATGTCTATGTGGACCACACTGGCTTCCTCAGCTAAAAAATGGAGATGGGCATGGCCTCCTAGGGTTGGAAATGACTGGACAGGGCAAACATTTACCTTTACCTTCTTATGCTCAATGGCCAAATTTATACATGTTCACATTATGAAGATTACAGATTTGGAATTTCAGAAAGTAATGAAAACTGAAATAACATAGGGTGAAAGGAGTAGAATGCTAAAGACGAATTCAGACATTTAAAACAGAGCTAAAATTACAGAAATACCACATTCTGGTTTCTCCTAAGAATGCATTAATGTCTTTTAATAAAAAAAATATTAAGTTAGCTTTCTGAAGCTCAGTAGAAGACTGCATACCTTTTATTTCTGATGTACTCAGAGCAGGGGTAGGCTGCTGGGCGTTTGCAGGAGTTTGGGAAATCCTCTAGCTAAGATTCTGCACAGTTTGGAGAACCCCCAAATCCCACTCCTGACTGGCCCCACCCCCCGCCTGCCCCACCCCCACCCCACCATTCCCAGGTATCCCCACGTGCCCCTTTTTGGATGCAGGTAAGTGCAAGGCACATGTGGAGGCTCAGGGAGGGTGGAAAATGGGCCTCCCGGAAGTTTGGAAGGCCGGAAATGAGCCCATTTCCAGCTTCCAGAAAGCCTCCGGAGCCCGGGGAGGCCATTTTTGCCCTCCCGGAGGCTTGAGGAAAGCCTCTGGAGCCCGGGGAAGGCAAAAATGCTCCCCCCCACCGTGGTGCAGGAGGCCGACTAGGCCATGCCCACCATGGCCATGCCCACCCAGCAAGTGGGCAGAGAACCTGTAGCTAAAATTTTTGAAGCCCACCCCTGACTCAGAGTATATCACCTTTGGAACAGTTTCTCCCACAGGATCTGGATGGCCCTGAATCTCTTAGCCTTGAGGAATGTATAAAAAGCTTCATTCTTTTCCATTACTCCAACCCAGAATGGTGGATAAGCTTATTTTCTGAGAGGTGGTTTGTACAATTGGTGACCTCCAGCTGTTTGGTGTTTTGATGCAGTGGTGGGATTCAAAAGTTCCCACCACTGGTTCTGTGGGTGTGGCTTGGTGGACATGGCTGCAGGGAGGTGACGCGACTCGTGTGCACGTGCATGCGACAAACACGCTCTTTGTGCACATGTTAAAACAGTAAAAACTAAGCTACTCCACCTCTCCACTGTTTAGCACAGCAATCCACTCTACCGCACCTAACAGTTGAGAGGTTAAAAAGGCCCTAGGAGCAGGGGCAGGCGGGTGGGCCCAACTGCAGAGCGTCAGAGAAACTCAGACCTAATTGTTTTTTTGCCAGCTGATCTTCGGTGCTACCGGTGCACCAGAACTGGACTGAACCGCTGTTTTGATGGTTGATGTATGGTTATTTATTTACCATGTTGTTTTACAGTTTTGATATGTTCATGTACACCACCTTCCAAACATTGGACAGCTATGTAAATCATAGACAGAATATCAATAATTTTCAAAATCATATTTCTAATTTTTGAAAATATGTTATAATTGTTACGATTTGGTTCCCTTCCCAGTTGTGCCGTTTCTTATCAGTAGCCAGCAAGAGAAACAACAGCTGTAGATGTTTTTTGGACTCTGTAACAATTAGAATGCCAACTTTTGGGCTATGGTTTTCATATGCTGTAATTTGGTTCTCTAGGGTACGGCACGGCTGCCTCAAGAGGTTTTGTTGGGTCAAACTATCTTGACATTTATAGTATTATTCCCTGCAAGTTATACCTTGATGGCCTGGAGATCTATTTACTCAGGTTTTATAGTCAACAAAAGGTTTCTAACAAGCTAAACAGCCTATGATAATGTTTCCTCCATTGTATTGTATTTAAGGGCAGATGGCAAATTGATGGAGTGCAGGCAACTGATACGGTACTTACAGGTATTCCTTGACTCACAACAGTTCATTTAGTGACTCTTTGAAGTTACAATGGCGACTCATGACCATTTTTCACACTTATGACGATTGCAGCACCCCCACCCCCATAGTGACGTGATTTACATTTGGATGCTTGACAACTGACTTACCTCTATGACGGTTGCAGTGCCCCAGAGTCACCTGATCCCCTTTTGAGGCCTTCCGAGAAAAGTCAATGGGGAAACCAGATTCACATAACAATCGTGTTCCTGATGTAAGGCTTGCGGGGATTTACTTCACAAATCTGGTAAGAAAAGTCGTAACATGGGGCAAAACTCACGCATTTCTCACTTAGCAAACATAAATTTTGGGGTTCAGTTGTGGTCTACCTGTGGTACAGATGTGCCTCCATTGTAGGGATGGTGCCGGAGAAGGCTGTTCTTATTGTCCTTCTCATTGTGTAAAACAGGGCTGGCAAATTCCCGCCCCTTGGGCCGGATGCGTCCCATGTTGGCCACACCCATGCCAGGTTTAGCAAAGGAGGAAAATGTCCCAATGCGTCACGTGATGCCTCTTTGAAGCGGCCATGACGACATGAGTGGGACACCTCTGGTGTACGAGAATCCACCTCATTCTGCATAATAATAGGGATTAAAAATAATTGCATAAAATAATAAGACAACACAAATCCATATTTACATAAACATACCGCTGGATCATTTTAGCAAGGCAGGTCTATTCATTATAGATAATTCTGAGCATACATTTAGATTTGTATAAAAAGCTAAGAATTTCCCAGGCACAGTTCAAATAAGGAAAGTGAGAAATTACCTTGTCAGTTATAAGGCAATTAGTTTCCCTTATCAAACTTCATAGCAACGAATGGAACACATAAAGTAAATAAGACGTTACTATGTACAGTATAGATCCCTAAACATGAAAGAACATTTTTCATGCTCTTGTTCCTTGGGTGGGAGAGAATGATGCAACCCCTAATGAGTATTTCATGCTATTTCTTTTCCAGACTGCAAGGGCATAAACTCTTGGTAATTGGGGCCAAAAAAGTCAACATTCCCAGGAATAGTTTCATTTACAGCTGTGGGGCCTTCTTGATACTGACAGGATGACCAGCTGCTGTGGCCTGCCATTCCAGCAGAAATGATATGGTCAACTTGACATTTCCCAAGGAGATGTGTGAAGTTTCCCACTTAAGCAATCGAGTTCCTAATTTCACTAGGAACAAATCAAGCCAGCGATGATGTTATATGCAACCCATAAAGCTCCCAGCTAAGCTCTTTCATTAAACAGAGATCAGTGGATTTCAGAGAGTGGTAGAAGACAACTATTTTTATGTCATGTAGACTCTCCTGGATTCAGATAAAATGGAGGCACCAAATATATTCAACTTCTATACCTGAAATGGGGTAGATGATATTCAGTGCTTTGCTGGATTATTTTATATACAGGTCATCCCCGACTTACAACAGTTCATTTAGTGTCCATTCAAAGTTACAACAGCACTGAAAAAAGTGACTTATGACCATTTTTCACACTTTGACGGTTGCAGCATCCCCATGGTCACATGATCAAAATTCATTCGTTTCGTATTTATGACTGTTGCAGTGTCCTGGGGTCATAAGTTCAGCTTTTGTGACCTTTTAACATGCAAAGTCAATGGGGAAGCCAGATTCACTTAACA